GAGAAAAAACTTTAACTACAGCTGATAATTCAACCAACTGAGGTGACCCTGGAGCTTTGTGGATGTTATGTCTCCAGGAATCACCTTCTTGCCACACTGCAACTGCATTACCAGTCTTTCCAGAACCGTCAGTGAATATTGTTTTGGCGTGCTGGAGAGGAACATGAGAGAGCAAAAGTTTTAGCTGGATAGGAATTGGTAGTAACCTTTGTAGGAAAGGACATGCAGGAAGATGGAACTTGTAGGCTCCTTGATAATCAGCGTTAGCTATTTGAAAGTCAGAGGAGTTGACAATTAATTGTTCAAATAGAGAAGAGGGTAAAGGGAAATAAATGAAATCTGGTTCTTTACCACAAAGTTCAACAGAACGTAGACGACCTTTGAAACACAATTTGGAAAACATCTCTGGTAAGGTAGTTAGGGTTTTTGAGAACTGATGGGGCAAAAATAACCATTCCCATAAGCAGAACTGAGTATCATTGGAATAAAATTGACCTAAGATAGCTATAGGCTGGTTAGCATTTTGGGCGATAACTAAAGAAACAGGAACGTCAGGTATGATTCTGTTAGTTTGTCGAGTCTGTATTTTGTCTTCGATTAAGCGCAGTGCTTGTCGTGCTTCTTGACTAAGGGACCTGGGAGAAGTCAAGGAGGGGTCACCTTTAAGCAAATTAAACAATGGATCTAGGTCTTGCGTGGTAATACCTAGGACGGGTCTAATCCAATTTATTGCGCCTAGGAGCTTCTGCAAATCATTGAGGGTTTTAACGTCTGATTTAATTGTGATAGATTGGGGGGTAATTGCTGAATCTGTGATTTTTAAACCTAAATATTTCCAAGGGGATGAGTTTTGAATTTTGTCAGGCGAAATCTGTAAGCCATTGGAATTGAGTACAGAGATGGTGGCCGAAAGAGTAGTTTGTATTTCCGAATCTGATTTGGCACAAATTAAAATGTCATCCATATAGTGCAATATAATAGAATTTGGAAACTGAGACCTAATGGGGGATAAAACATGAGAGACAAAAAGCTGACACAGGGTTGGAGAATTTTTCATACCCTGTGGCAGGACTCGCCATTGGTAGCGTTTGTGTGGCTGGCTGCAATTAACAGAAGGGACTGAAAAAGCAAACTTAGGTACATCAACTGGGTTCAAATAAATATGGAAAAAGCAATCTTTAATATCTAAAATGACAATGGGCCACTCAGCAGGCAGCATAGCTGGTGAAGGCATACCTGGCTGAAGTGAACCCATGGGCTCGAGGACCTCATTGATTTTCCTCAGGTCTTGGAGTGGCCTCCAAGATCCTGAAGATTTTCTAATGACAAAGACTGGGGTATTCCAAGGACTGGTGGAAGGTTCGATATGTTTTTTAGCCAATTGATCCTGTACTAAATCTTGCAACGCTTGCAGCTTCTCTACAGGTAAGGGCCACTGATCCACCCAAACCGGATCCGATGTTTTCCAGGTCAAAGGTGGGAGCTGCAAGACTCCAGTGGCCCCAGTTACAAATTTGTTTGCCGAGAAATACCCCATTGCATTAGACAGTCTCGGCCCCATAAAGACAAAGGGATATCTAAAATAAAGGGAAAAACTGAAGCTAATTGCCCTTCTGGACCTCGGATTTGGATTAATTTTGTACTCTTTAAAGGCGTTTGTGAGCCCCCCACTCCATTGACGTTAATTATTGTTTGAGAAGTCTCCCAGGTAGATGGCCAATCTTTTTTTGCTAAAATTGTGACATCAGCGCCAGTATCTATCAGGCCCAAGACACTGATAGATAGGGGCTGTACTTGGTCTGTGTGTGTTAGGGTGCAGGATATTATCGGGTGGCAGGTGGTAATCGGTCGAGACCAGTAAACTGAATTTTGATTTTGGAAGGTGTTATGAAGAGTAATAAAATAGGTCAATGGTATTAATGTGGCTATTGCGTCCTTTTGGAAAATCTTAACTGGAGGGGTTGAAACTGAAATTGGGATGCAAATGTGGTCAGTATGAAGCTGTTGCAAAAGCATAGGTATAATAAACAAACCTAAAGGTAAACAGATAGGATTAGACACTAACAAATAAACTTCATCAGGTGAAACAGAACAGGAAGGTGTAACACGTAATAATACATCTTGATCAGTAAGTATAGTAACAGGCGAAATAGGAAACAAAGAAATACAACACAAGCTTTTATCATCAGTAAAAGAATCCTGAGAGGTGTTTAGCTGAGGGAAAAACGGCTGCGAGTGGTCCGGGTATCCAGTGGGGAACTTGATGTCTGCGCGCCCCCCAGGGCGCTCGGATGGAAGTTTCCCGGAATGTTGTCGCAGGACCTGAAAGAGACTTTTCGACGCAAAATAGGTGACTTAGGGGTCAAGGGATTTCCATGAATATCAGTCACTGATCGGCAGTCTTTGGTCCAGTGATGACCCTTGCCGCACCTTTTGCACACAGTCTTTGGAAAGGTTGGAGTATTAGGTGTAGATTGATTTGCAAGTTGAGGACAATGCTTTTTAACATGCCCCTTTTGGCCACAGTGAAAACAAGTATTAGGTCCGGAAAGTGCAGCAGCCATTAATTTCGCCTTATGGGTGTTGGAATTGATATATTTACAAGCTTCAATCATCTCTAGTAAGGTTGGATCCTTCAGGTATTTTAAAGCGTGCTGACATTCTTGGTTCGCATTTTCAATAACAAGCTTTTTAAACAATATTTCTTGCAATTCTTTTTGGTCTACTTGTTTTACTATGGCCTCTTTTAATCTTGTTATGAAGTCCACAAAAGGCTCATCCTGTCCTTGCCTTATGAGGGTAAATGAAGGAGCAGATGCATAGGCATCTGCAACTTTCTTTATGGCTTGCAGTGCTAGGTCTTTGGAAGCATCCAAATATTGCTTATGAATGGTCACCTGGCTGTCCTTGGTGGTAAAAGGACCTTCGCCATAAAGCATCTGCTTGTAGTGGTCAGGAGGAGACCTTTTATGGGAAAGCTTTTCGGTAACATATGTGTTAATCAGTGCTTTCCATTCATTTTCAAAAACGGAATTTTGGACTGTGGACAATAAACCCTTAGCAATCATGCGAATATCATAAGGTATTAGGGTGTAGGCCTGAAATAAAGAATCAAATAACCCGATGGTAAAGGGTGCGCCTAACCCGTAATCAACAATAGCTTTTTTAATGTCCTTTAAAATTGGATATGAAATAGGTGTCCATTTAGGTTCTGAACTTTCGTCACAAAATATCGGAAAGGCCTTTAGGAATTCAGTGTCCCCTGCCTGCAAGGCCTGGGCCCTACACTCCTTCCAAACCTCATTGTGGGAAATGAGGCTGGGTGTACAGGCCTGCTGGCAAACGTGCCGGCCATGGGCGCCGCCATGTTGCCGGATGTTGTGACCGGAAGTGGCGGTATCGCCATCTTGGGGTAAGCCCTCGTGACTTCCAGATATGGATGACGAGTTGGAGGAGGCCGGGTTAGGGGCGGAGACTGAGGTGTAGGTGTTATGTGGGCGGGGCTTCGCGACGGTGGTTTCGCGCGCTCGATGTTCCCGCGCCGCGACGAAGCTCCGCCTCCCTCCCTCAGGGCCACCGCCATCTTGTGTGGTGTTAGAGTCCAGCCTCCCTCCCTCACGATCGCCGCCATTTTGAGTGGTGTTAGTAAGCCTGTCCCGCGGACATATGTCCTTCTTTGATGGTCTCTTTAGGGTTGAATATGGGTCCCGAGAGTAGCGGTGTGGTGAGGGGGGTGGAGAAGCAGAATTCTTTTTCATCATTTGGTCTTTTAAGACCATCAGAACTGCTCTCCATGCCTCTAACGCTGACTCCGCGCCGGAGACCTTGTTATTCTTGTCAGTCCATATATAGAACCCAATTTCGTCCCAGTCATTGGTGTTAAGGACTTGGGGGACTTTTTCCTTTTTTGCGTCCAGCCATCGCGCCAGTGATTTTAACGATTTTTTATCAGGTGCTTGACCATGCTGGAGGAGTAGTGTTTTTAGATGACGGTATTTTTCACGCTCGGATGTAGATAAGCGGGCTCCCATCGTTAGTTACGGGGTTAGGATACAGGGGAGGAGTTAGGGACTGCCCCAGCTGCTCACCTTCTTCCGCCGGCGGTGGAAGGTGCGGAGGGAAGTGACAATCCTCTTGTCCGCCGTCCAGCTGGGGGTGGCTGCCGGGAAGAACACCTCAACCCAGGGTCTTCGGTATCCCAGCCGGGCACTCTGGAGTTTTCTCAATGTGAGAAACCTCTACAGAGCCCCACGTTGGGCACCATATGCCGCAGCCCGGTGGGGGTGAAGGAAACGGATGCCACTGCTGTTGGAGTGCTCAGCTGGGATATTTATTAGTGCTCAGCCAAAACCTTGGGGTAGAACAGGAAGGGCTGCAACACTACGGGATATTGCCAGCTAGCGAGCTAAAATGGCATCCTCGAGTGAGGGACGAACAGGGGTTTGTATAGGGTAGGAGGGAGAAGGGACTAGATCATGGGAGGAGTTTAGGGATTGGCAGGGGGTACAACCAATAGGGAATCGTACAGAGAACGCGCCAATACTAACAACCAATAACGTAATGAATCACCTCAGCAAGGCCCACCCATGCTGCAGCTCTAACCATCCAATCCTAGCTGAAGGATTTTAACCAATGGGATTACAGGGTTTTGTGAGGGGAATGAAACCTTCTAATATAATATATAAATATAACTCCCATAACAAACATCAAATATGTTAAGTATCATTAAAACCATTCATAAACATTCAGGTAAATAAAGTCCATGTTTCCAGTAATGAATAAAAGTCCTCTTTTCAAGGTCTGTTCAATATTTGTCGTAAGTCTCCTTCCAACGATGGAATTCAGCTCTTTTCGGGTCCTCCACAGCCCCCCACCCCAGAAACACAGAGGGAGGTGCCCTCAACAGGCCAAGATTTTGGCCAATCCTTAGCGGCTATAATGGTGATGTCCGCTCCTGTGTCCAGAAGTCCAGTGATCGTAGTATGTCCTGCTGGTGATGCAGCTGTGACGGTCATCAGGGGTTGATTTGAAGAAACTATTTGAGTCCATCCCACGTGGAGAGTTGTCGCCGTTTCTCCTGGGTTTTCCTGTAGCTGTTGAGATAGCTGAGACACTGGAATTAAAGTACCTATAGGTTCAGAGTTCGTTATTGTCACAGGTGGAAAAGGAACATGTACAAAGATGGTGATTCTGTCCAAGTTGTTGCCGGTGAAAAGTTCCACTTGAGCAATGACACCCTTTTGCGATGCCTCATTAGAGGGATTGACTAAGTACCATTGGTCTTTTTTGTAGTGGTTTTGAGGGGTGTGTTGTTATTGTGGATTCTTCCACCGTGAAGGTGACATTAGGGGAAGAGGAGTGGAGTGCGATGCATTGTGGGACATTTAATGTATGTTGGTGAGGTTTGGTTCTGATTGTGTTCTGCCCATCAGATGGCATTGGCATTCTATTGAGGTATTTGATGTCCCCGCACCCCTCATGGCGCTCAGTGTCAAGTTTCCCTGATTTGTGTCAAATTTCCTTTGTGCTGGTGGTGTATTAAATGTAACTTTTTTCTTATATGGCAGTTTAGGAGATTTTGGTGGGAGAGGGTCACCATTGATATCAGAAGTAGACCTGCACTCTGAGGTCCAGTGTTTCCCTTTACCACACCTTTGACAGTTAAATTTAGGGAATGTTTTAGGTGTCTGTGGTCTATTGTCTGGGCACTTTTTTTCAATATGTCCTGATTGTTCGCAAGCAAAACATTGACCCTTAACAGCACACATCATAAGTCTTATTTTTTCTTTTGTGGATCCTACATTGCGACAAGCTTCGACCATTTCTAGCAATGTAGGATTTTTTAGTGGCCTTAAAAGTTTTTGGCATTCTTCATTTGCTTTTTCAATTACTAAAGATTTAAAAAGAACAGCCTGAGAATTTTCATCCAAAATTTGTTTTACTACAGCTTCTTTTAATCGTGTTGCGAAGTCTAAAAATGGCTCTTTTGGCCCTTAAAAAATTAAGGTGTGTGATGGTGTGGAGGTTGTGATCTTAGCAACCTTTTTTATGGCTTTAAATGCCAATTCACTGGATTTATGTAGTATGGTAGGGTGAATGGTTGCTTGCTTTGTGTTATTTGAGTATGATCCCTCACCATATAGTCTGTCTATGGCCTGCTCATGTGTTGCTCCCCGTGTTTCTCCTCCTTCTTTTACATATCTCTTAATAAGAGCCTTCCATTCTGTTTCAAATGCTGAATATTGGATGGTGGGTAGCCAAGCCCTGGCAACTAAGCGAATATCGTTAGGTATTAGGTCATAGGCTTGGAAAAAGGACTCAAGGAGGCCTATAGTGTATGGGGAGTTTAGGCCATATTCTGCAATTGCCTTTTTAATATCTTTCATAACCGGGTATGAGAAGGGTCTCCATTCTGGAGGTCTCCCTTCTTCTTTCAAGACCGGAAAAGCCTGAAGCATTTCAATGTCTCCTGCCAAGGCTGCTTGGTCATGGAAGGACTTCCAAGCTTTTTCATGTGCTTCTATTACTTGGTGTGTAACATCTATCCAGGGGCCAGGTGTAAAAGGCTCTTGGATAGTTGCAGTGGTTGTAGTGGTTGTGTATATGTGGGTTTCATCAGCATCTTTCATAGATGAAAAAAGGTCAGATGCTGAGGTACTAATGCTTTTAGCTGCAGTATGTTGATGTGTAGATGCCTTATGTTTGGTAGGTGGTACTGCTGATGTTTTATTAGAGTGGGTTTTGTTTTTAGGTGTTGTGATCTTAGGTTTAGCTGATTCAATTATAGTAGTGAGAGGTGGTGGTGTTGTAACCTCATCACTGTCATCATCAGAAGAACTAGAACAAGGCTTTGTATTTGATGTCTGGGTGCTGGACAATATAAGTGTGGGTACAGATTGCTGCTGTGGAACTAGATGGTGTTCTGGGGCTGTAGGTGTATGCATGACGGTCTGTTGTAAGCGTTGAGATTTGAAAGAAAATTGTTGGAAGGCCATGGGTGGAATCAGGTCCTGTGCCTCGGCCGTAGGCATAGGTCTGTGTGGCACTTCTGATGGCTGCAAGTGTTGAGGGGAATAGGGCTTGGTGCTGGTGTTGCATGCTGGTAAAGGAGGGTAGGCCTTAGGCCCTGCGGCATGGGGGCTACCATGTTGGCTTGGGTGGGCGTGGCCTGCGCCGGAAGGGAAGGCCTGAATATGGCTCGTGGCATCATGGCACGATGGTAAGTGTGGGGCAGAGTTATGATGTAAGGGAGGAGTGGCTAAGGTGATGTCATGGGAGGTGGAGAGAAACAATGACGTGATGTTACCGGGAGTGTATTTCGGTGGGTCCACCCCCAGTCTCTGGACTGCAGCTCCACCCTCGGGTCCTCCCTCCTGACGTCCCCACGAGTGAAGATGTTTCCCGACGCCATTTTGTTCGCCGCTCAGCATGCCGTGTCCCGATCTCCCAGCGCCATCTTGTCTCCCCACCCCGGTGTTAGGTCCCTCCATGTTAGCAGTGGGTGGTGGTGACGCAGGTTGAAAAACGTGCTCGTCGCCATTTTGGGGTTGCTGCAAGGCTGGTTTTAAGGCGGTATTATGTGCAGCCTCATTTTGGCGTCCTCTCAGGAGCATAAGGATAAGCCTCCAGGATATTAGCCCTTTAGCAGCCAATTTGTCCCTTTTCTTATGCGCTTTCCACAGCTGCGAGCCGATTTTATCCCAGTGCTCGAGAGTTAGTTCCTCTGGGATTTCTAAGTAATGCGAGTTCATCCAGGTGGCTAAAGCCTTCAGGGAAGCCTTGTCATAGTTATGACCCTGAAGTTCCACTACAGCTCGAATGCGCTTATAAATGGGTTTCTCCGGTTTGCAGAGGGTAGCACCCATAGTTGGTAGCAGACACGAAGTTGGGGGATTTGTGGAGACGGGTTAGGAGGGGGAGGGAATGCCCCGACAGCTCACCTCTCCTGGAGATCGCCTGCGTCTTCAGTGAGGGGGACGCGAAGTCCAGTCTCTGTCGGGGAGACTGCCGGACCGCAGGGTATCACAGACCCCTGCAGCTGAATGCTGCTGGAGCGCTGCCGCAGAAGTCAAAAAAGAAATCTGCAGACGAGCCTCACAGTTGAAGCGCCATTTGCCGCAGTCTTGTCTGGGGTCAGGAGACAGACCAGCGACGGGGGTTCTTGCCTCGCCTGCAGATAGGACAATGGCAATTGCAAGTGCTGGCAGGTAAAGTTCACTTATGTGAGGAGCCCCGAGTAAGAGACACACACACACACACACACACACACACACAATTTGAACACCTGCACAGCCAAAAGCTGATCCACCTTATTAAACAAAATGGAGGGGGTTTATACCCCCTGGGGCGGAATATACTGGAAAAGGGGAATAACCAGGGCAGAGCATGCAAATCCGCTCACAATCATAGGGTAACAGTTAATACATAAACATTACAAGGTGGTAACTTGGGAGGAGAAAACTTGGGATAAACTGATTGGTCAGTACCTCAGGGTATGCCGACCAATGGGAAGCTGTATCCAAGCCTGTCAGGCTTCTCAGTCCATGAGGGAGAAAGGGAAAATGGGGGAGACAACCTAGGAATAGGTTTTTATATTTGGCTGAACCACTGCAAACAGTCTTTTAAGCACACTGAAGTTCATTGTCCACTTCCTCAAGCTGGTTTTTCCATTCCTCAAAGGTGGTCTCGCTGTTCTCAGCCTCCTTCCACATCCTGAACGCATTTTCCATATCCTCGTAGACACTCTGGTTTCCAACAGGAAATGTCCCTGGGTTAAACTGTAGGAAGCTGTGAAGGAAAGGTAGGGAGAAAAGGGCTTGTCCAAACTATTTCAGTATGCCCTTTTGAGGTTGCGAGCTGTGCTGGTGGTGGCATATGCCTCCGGTAGGGTCTCCCATGCCAGACAGGTCAAAACTGAAGGGTCAAATGTGTTCACGGGCAGGACGAGCTCACTAGCCTTCTGGCGGTCATCCTAGGAGAAGGACAACTCTAATTTCAAAGCCGGGCAGATGGAGCTCGCTTAGCCCTGTAAGGCCACCCATCCAGGAGAAGGATACTCGAATTAAACCTACGTCCTGAGGACCTCACTGTCACCGTCCAAGCTTGCTAGGCCCTGGCAGATGAACCTCAGGAGTAAAGGGTGGGACCAGTTCTGCGCAAGCTGAGCCTCACCTAAAAAATCCACTGCGCAGGCTCAAGGGGTATAGCCACACTTGTAAAGTCCTGCAGCGACAGGTGAGGGGCGAAACGGCAGGTGATAAGATGCACTGGAAGCCGCAGACCCAACCCTGCACGC